AAACACCATACAAATTTTATTCTCAAATCTGGATGCTAACCTTTCCCCTCTGCAACTCTTCAAAATTATTTTGCATTCATTCTCATTTACTATTTGACTGTTACAGGTAAAAACCCAGAGAAATCTTCCAGGTAAGCAGCAGTAAGGTACTTTTTGGAAGAAGGCAGAGTTTATAAAGCATCCTGAAATTGGGGTCAGCTTCACTGGGTGTCACTCTGAAGGATTTGGTTCAGTTTCTCTGAAGGAGGAGAGAACGTCCACTTTGCTTCTGGCCTTGTCTAAATAAGGTCGGAGTTTGTGAACTCAAGAGGCTTCCGTGGCCTTGGCAGCTCGTGACAAGAGCTCAGGTGATTACTGACGTCATAATAAGAATGTCAATTGTTAAATCAACAACGGGAGTCTATGTGCACTTTCTCCCCATTAGGATCTCTGTCCTTAATGTGTTGTACTATGCAAATTAATGGTAAAACTAGTCTTCAAACTGTACTTTACCCTTTGTGTGTCTGTTGAAACTTTACTTAGTATATACTAAGTTGATCTTCTGTATATAAAGATAATTAAAAATGAATCTTAATGAAGAATGGGAATGGGAAAGGGTAGGAGATGGGATGGTTTGCTGCGTGCTAGGGTGGTTATGGGGGGAAAACCCGCTATAATCTGAAAGTTGTACTTTTGAAATTTATATTTATTAATAAAAGTTTATGAGAAAATTTTTAAAAAGGATGTTGTTGAAGAAAGGATAAGGGCAGCAACCCACTTTGAGATTTTTTGGAGGGGAAGAGTGGAGAGATGTAAACAAAAGCAAAGGCTCTTAGTTCCCATTCTGTCTCCACCTGCTGGAGACTGTTCAAGCTCCTTGAGGATGGCCAGCGAGCTGGTCTGCAGGCAAGCCTTGGTCCTGGACTCCATTTTCCAGAGTTCCTCCGTGCCCTGACGTCCGTGCGCACTTGAGCCGCCCTGCGTGCGTGTGTGCGCGTCGGATCGCGCTGTGCGCACAGGTGGATCCAAGCCCAGGACTGCGGAATTTCATTCACCGAAGGAGACAGCGCTGGGAGGCAGGGCAGTGACTTACTCACACTCAACTAGTCGTTACTCTGCACCTGCGGTCCCAGGCAGTTTGCGAGCGCAACACCCGGGCGGCGCCCCGCTGCTTCTCTCCCGCTGCTGTTGGGCTGTAGCCATCGCCACTATCGTTCATGCGTTGTCCCGGAGGGAGCCGCCAGAGTCTCCGGAATTCTCACGGCAGATACGGAGACCATGCAGAGGGGTTGGGTGCCAGGGCTGCTGGACGGGCTTGGGGTCCTGGCTCTCTGGTGCCATCGGGCAGCGGCAAGGAATGAGAGGGACCCAGGCTGTCCCGCGTTTCCCCACGCTCTGGGGGTCCCGCGTCTCCCCTTTTCTCAAGTTTCCTAAATGCCTTTTATTTACGGGGTACAAGGGGTGTTCCCAGTCGCGAAGGGTGTGTGTGGGGTGTTCAGTTACTGGAACGGATCGGTGGGTTCATTCTTCAGCTCAGTGTAGCAATAAATGGCTGGGAAAAGGTAGTAAAAAAGGCAGAAGCTTTATTGTGCCAAGCGAAAGTAGTCTTAAGCGAGCGGATGCTGGTTTCCAGGAGGTGTACCACGTTTTTAAAAGTCTCGCTTCTTTTTTTTTTTTAATTGGACCACAATCGGAGGTGTGGGTGGGAGAGTTCATTTTTATATGGTTCTAAGTATGGTAGGGACGCCTCCTCTTGGGAAGAAAAACTGGCTAAAGCAAAAAAAATATAAAAACAAAAATAATAACAACAACACCACGTAACAACCAGGTAGAGGCTTTGGAGCTGAGACTTTCTGAGAAATGCCGCAGTGCAGAGCTGGGTCAGTGGTCTGGGTGCACACAGGCAGGTGACTGCCTGGAACTGGAGTTGTTAAGAGCTGGCTTCCTCTTTGGGTGCCCATGCGACCTCAGACTTAACCAGGCCATTTTGCAACAGTTTCCCATGGAGCAGGGCTGGGTGGCCCCCAGCAGGGAGCCCAGGGCTGCAGTGGATGGCTCAGCCCTGCTGCCCCACTCCACATGCACACAGCCTGCAAGGCGAGGTCACTGCGGGCACTCGGGACAGCTGGGGCTCTGTGGGCTCGGCTGACTTTTTCTCCCTGTTCTTCCCTGTCCCACAGTGCAGCTCCCCGCTGATTGTCCTACAGTCCCTGCAGCTGGAAGTAAAGGGGCCACTCAGTTTTCTTATTTTCTGTTTGGTGTCAAAGCCCAAGACATTTTAGCATTGGGAGCGCACTAACTACTAATTTGCACAAGGTCTGGTCTGTGGAGGCCTCTGTACATGTGTGAGGAGGGGTAAGACAGAAAAAGGGACCTGAAATAAGCACCCGCTTTCCCCCGCAGAGATGCCCACGCAGTGGGGAAAGAGTTGTGGCCTAGGAAAATACGGCACTTATCTTCCGCATAGTGGAATTGTCAGCAGAGTAACCAGTCTTGAGTGAGTCCCTGTTCTGTTAGATTAGTGCTGTCACCCGATTCCCGGTTGATAAACATGATTGCCCATAATGAGGCCCCCTAGGAGGAGGAGCAGAAGGGACTCTAGGCAGTGGGTGTGAAGGTTGCTGCATGCCTCCTCTCAGCCCCAGTGTGGGGTTTGCTTGTCCCCAGGCTGCATCCTGTTATGGAGCCTCTGATGGACCAGCAGCTGTGTGTTTCTTCTGGGAGGAGCTGCTTCATGTCGGTGTTCTGAGCACCCATGTCTTGTGACCATTCATCTCCCAGGGAAACAGCCAGGAACAGGATTCCTAGAGCTGTCCTGTTGGCAGGCTGTCCTCTGCAGATAATACTAAGCACCGCTGGAGGGCAACAGCCAAGGTACTTAGCATCTGGAAGAGAAGTTTTCAATATGAGATACATGCTCTGGTGATTTAGCAGTGATGTCTCTAGGAAAGGCGCCCTGTGGGGAAGCTGATGGTGTCTGATGATGTCCATTCATCTCTCCATTACTAGCAGCTACTGACATCTGCTGTGGGCTGGAGAAGGAAGCCTTGTCCTCGAACTCCAGTGACTGGGAGGATTCAGCTACAGTTTAATGGAGGCTTCATTTGGAGGGAGTAACCAAAGTACGTCATTTTGTGTTTTGTTTTTTTTTGTTTTTTTTAAGAGGTAGTAACATTTTTTTCAGTTATAGCTCTGCATGTAAATATTGTAATTTCTGGCAAATGATGATTTTTTTGGGTTATATTTTGAATTTCATTTAGTTTCTGTTTAATTTATGTTTTTTCAAGTTAATGAATCCTAGAAATCAGCTTATAAAATCCTGGCTGTTAATGCAATAACCTTTCTCTCATCTCTCACTCAATGTACATTATACAGATTTATTTTATTTATTTGAAAGGCAGAGTGACACAGAGAAGGAGAGAGAGACAGAGAGACAGAGGGTTCCAGAACTCTATCTGGGACTCCATGTGGGTGGCAAGGACCCACATACTGGAGCCATCTTCTGCTGCTTTCCCAGGTGTGTGAGCAGGCAGCAGGATCAGAAGCAGAGCAAGTAGGTCTTGAGTAGTGTTCATAGGGGATGCCAGCATTGGAGGCAGTGGCATAACCCTCTGTGCCATGGAGCCAACTCCTCCATAGATATTTGGAAATGCTGTTGGTAGCATTGAAACTGTAAAGTCTTAATTTTACAAGGGAAAGGAAAGAAGTCTGTTCTAACTCTGGTCAGTTCCAGGGGCTGTTGGCTCACATAGAAGCTGTTTCTGAAAAGAGACACAGGAAGATGTGTGTGTCTGTGCCACAGTATTGGAGGTATCCGTGTGTTTGCACACTGACTCACATGTACAGATGTTCCTTGTGCAGATGAGCATGATGCGGGTATTCCTCCATGTCTGGGCCTTGTCTGGGGAGATGAAGAGAAGATATATTGGTGGGGAACCACACAGCTGGAAACTGGGCTCTGAATCAGGCCCACCATGCACGGTGCTTCTTCCCCAGAGACCCTCACCTGTTCTGGGCAACTTGGCCTTGCAAAGCTCATCTTCCCAGGAAATATTGTAGCTGAAGGTTTTGCAGTTTTTTTTTTTTCTTTTTGCTTGGCTTGGCTCAACTGCATTTTACCCAGCGTGTGTGCAGACCAAAGTCAGCTGTGTGTAGATCCCAGGATGCCATCTGTGGGTTTTCCTAAGTGACAGTGCTCTGCTGCTGCTGCCCACTGGGTCCTAAGGCCTGTGGTGGCTCTCGTCTGAGCATCTGGAAGCCAGAAAGATGGCAGCTCAGCCATTGGGGCTTCCCTGTTTTTCTGCCCCTGACTTTCTCCCCCTTCTCTCTTTTTCTATTTGCTGTTACTGCTGGTCTGGAAAGAGGAGGATTTTCCAGGAATATTCACTCCTTGATCCAAATTGCCAGTCAGCCTCTGTCCCTCTGGGAAGGACTGCTTCTTGTGGGACATTGGCCATTGGCAGAGATGCTGATGGACATGATGTGGGCACCTTTGAGGCAGCCAACTTGTGCTACCTTTGCAGTCCTTTGGCAGTGGAATGAATGCCCCTGCTTTAGCAAGTGTAAGTTCCTGTGGAATGTGGTGGAAGAGATGGCATCCAGAAATCCATCCATCCATCCCTATTTCTTTGCCTTCCTCCTTATGCCTCTCTGACCTCGGAATTATTTTGCAGGATTTCTGTTGTTTCACACTTAACAGACTGCATGGGCTTCTGTTTTCACAACTCTCAGCCCTTGTCCACCTCAGGATATTTTTCAGTGAAGGACAGAGGTGTCATCTGTCTTCCATAAAGCATCCATCTTTCATTTCAAGCAGCTGTGTTTTCCTGGTGCTTATCTTGTAATAGACTGGAAAGCTGACTTCTCTTGGGATATAACAGGCTTGCTCATCCTGGGTCTCACTTGAACACTGGACACAGTTGTCCTGTGTGACTGCCCCATATTTCATGTCTACACCTTATGAAACAGCTGTTCTCAAGATTTCCAAGTGCCTGGTTGGACTCTGGCTACATTTCCCCAGAGTGACAACTAAATATTTATTTGGTGCCTGGAGACTTGGAGTGCTAAGCCCTATAATCTTCTACTCAAATTTGACCAGAAAATAATTGTGTTTTGAAACATTTGGGGGTCCGGCGCTGTGGCTTAGTAGGTAAGGCTGCTACCTGCAGTGCCGGAATCCCATATGGGTACTGGTTTGAGACCCAGCTGCTCCACTTCCATTCCAGCTCTGCTATGGCCTGGGAAAGCAGTGGGAGATGGTCCAAGCCCTTGGATCACTGCACCCATGTGGAAGACCCAGAAAAAGCTCCCAGGTCCTGCCTTCAGATTGGTGTTGCTCCAGTCGTTTCGGCCAAATGGGAAGTGAACCAGCGGATGGAAAACCTCTCTCTCAGTCACCCCTTCTCTCTCTGTTTAACTCTTTCAAATAAATAAGGCCAGTGCTGGGGCTCACTAGGATAATCCTCCTCCTTGCGGCACTGGCACACCAGGTTCTAGTCCCAGTCGGGGCGCCAGATTCTGTCCCGGTTGCCCCTCCTCCAGGCCAGCTCTCTGCTATGGCCAGGGAGTGCAGTGGAGGATGGCCCAAGTGCTTGGGCCCTGCACCCGCATGGGAGACCAGGAAAAGCACCTAGTTCCTGGCTTTGGATCAGCGTGATGTGCAGGTCACAGCACGCTGACCACGGTGGGCATTGGAGGGTGAACCAAGGGCAAAAGGAAAACCTTTCTCTCCGTCTCTCTCTCTCACTATCCAGTCTACCTGTCGAAAATAAAAAAAATCAATAAATAAATAAGCCTTAAAAAAAGAAAAGAAACATTTGGGCTGTGGGTAGACAGGGCAGTTTGCTTCAAGCCTGGTGAGAATTTATGAGCTGATGTTGTTTTTACACCCCATATTAAAGATTTGCTTCATTTACTTTTCTTTCTTAAATAAAAGTTTATGCATTTCAAAATCAGAGTGAAAGAGGAAGAGGGAGTGATAGAGAAAGAGAGAACTTCCATCTATTGGTTCACTTCCCAGATAGATGTAATGGCCAAGGCTTTGCCAGGCCAAATCCAGGAGCTTCTTCCAGGTCTCGTGCATTGGTGGCTGGGGCCCAACAACATGGGCCATCTTTCACTTCTTTTCCAGGGCCATTGCATGGAGCCATATCAGAAGTGAAGCATCCCTGTGGGATGTCAGCACTGCAGGCTGTGGCTTTTTCCACTATGCCACAATGCCAGCCCCATCTCTTTATTTTCTTAAGCAAACTTCCTAAAGTTTTCTTTCCTCTCTTTCGGAATTTCTGTGCTTCCATCCTCTCTATAACCACCCTTTTCTCTCTTCTTTTTATCATGATGAGAAGAGTAGTAGAGACACTGCAGCTCTCTCCTTTGTTAGCATGGCTTCCTCAGGCTGTCTCCCTGAATTAGGAGCAGCTACTTCCTATGTTCAGGCAGGAAACTGGTGGATCACAGCACCCTCAGGATTTCTGCTTTGCTCTCCTCTGTGATGTATTTGAAAAGCCCTTCTCAGCTCTGAATAGGGGGTGGCATTTGGTACTCTGAGATGTGTCTTTATAAAGTCAGGTGTCATGGAGGACCCTGTGTCTTAAGAATCAATTGAGCCCATCCAGGCAATGGGCAGCCTGGACTGAGCAGGGCCTGGCTGACATCAGGCAGATGGTGTTGGGGGTTGGGGGTACTTTCCAAGGGCTTTGGTCATGAAGCAGGTGTGGGGACAATTGTCTGAGCTTTTAGGAGATCTGTGGTTGCTGGGAAGATGGGGGCAGTGCCCAGGTCACCAGGCTCCACCTCTGGAGTGCAGCTGGAGCAGAAGCCCCCGGTGAAGGGTAAAGCGAATCCCCAGACGACATGAGCCATCCCTCTGTCCGGACTGCACGGACCTAGCCCTCTTCCTGCTTAGCCGCTCCTGGGTTCTCTGAGCCTCTTTCCTCCTCTGCCTCTCCAAGGGGGCCCAGGTTCCTGTGAAGACATGGTGCTTTCTGGTTGCTCACTCTCAACACAATCATGGGGACTCCTTTTCCTGCTGCTGGGTCTGTGCTGTCGGGATGAGGTGATGTTTGCACAGCTGAGGTGGGGCCTGGCTGGCAGGAGCAGTCCCTGATGGCTACAGAGCTGTCTGGCCTAGTGTGCCTGGCTCTGCTTGCTGCTGGCAGATAGCTGGCTGCTCTGCCTGGGGAAGCTACTGGGTCACCTGGCTCTGCTCCTGCCCCTTTCAGCCACTGCCATGCAGAAGTGATCCCTGCTGCTGCCCGCTCAAAGCTGCCTGCTGACTTAGCTGAGCTGTGAAGCTGGACATGGATCATCTGTGGGAAGAAGCCTCAGGGATAGCAGGACCAGCCTGGCAGAGGCAAGGCCACAGAGGGGCTCCTTGTGCTCACTTGCCAAGGACATTCCCCCAGTCTCCACCCCTGATGAGGCTTGCAGGTGCTTTCAGAGTTGTTGGTGAGCTCATCATCTCCTTGCAGGATGGGGCACTCATGAGTGAGTTCTCTACTTAGAAACCAGAATGGGAGGGTCCCTTCCACCTCTTTCAGGCTTCTTTGTGCCCCTGGGTCCATTTGCTGTCTTCTGGATGGAGGCTGGGAGACTGGGTCAGTAGCACGAATGTGACCAGACCTGCAGTGGAGAACAGACTACAGGGCCTTGTTGTGATAGGAGCCAGAGGAAGGTGCAGGTGGCTGTGGGGGTGGGGGGCAGAGGGAAGGCATGTGGAGGCCTGAGAGCATAGGAAGGGTGAGGGGTGTGTGGTTCTAGGCATGGATGTGCAGAATAATGTACCAGGGCCTGGCTTTTAGGAGATCTGCTGTTGCTGGGGGAATGGGGGGCAGTGCCCAGGTCACCAGGCTTTCCCTGGTGCACTGGGACTTAGCTTCTCCCTGGGCACCTGGGCAGTTGCACGGCCATCCATTCAGTCCAGAGGCATTTCCCTTTTCCTTTTCAAGGCCGTGAAGCACTTGGGGAGCGTTTCCCAAGCCCAGGATCTGCAGGTGGCAATGTGTCCATCCATGGGGCATTCAACACTCACCCCCACAGGCAGGCCCACAGCAGGCTCTACAGTGTTCATTAGGGATCCGGTGCTTTCTGGAACTCTTCCCACAGGCAGTTTTTCCAGGGATGC